GGACAGGGCCACCTGTCACATGGTTCACAACCCTCAGAAGAACTTGGCCTACCCCAGAGTTATGTCAGACTGTCAACAGTCAGATGTACATCCTGCAGTACATACGGCAGTGCCTAGCAACCATCGGAGTAGTCACAAGTGGAGAGGAGAGCTGCAATTCTCACAATATGCAGATAAGAATATGATTGTCGTGATATATGTTCAACAGCAGATTTATGCATTGATCTGATTTCTTCTCCATTCTCAAATACAAATGTTAGAGCTAAAAGTAGAGAGGAAAAATTAAGCTTGGTTTAACCAAATGTTGCTCGTATCTACAACAGCATCATTTCTTTAAGGATCAAAGAAATACTCATACAACATTTCTCTGCAGTATATTCTTCCCCAAAATCCTGATGGTGTGAGAAGAGAGGGACTGTGAGACATTTTTCCTATGACTGCATTCCAGCGAAAGCGATCATGTGCATTTTGTATGTCATACATAGGCACAGGGACAGATCTGTATGACTAGCAGTGTCCTATGGCATGGATGCCTGCATTAGGGGGTTCTGTGACTTGTTTCATAGGAGTAAAAAGGAAAGTGTAGATGTTTCAGTTTCCTCTTAGCAATGGAAGTGTGCTAGATTGTGCAAATTACACACATGGATTACATACCATGCATACTAGTGCTCTCCATCTCTTTCTCTCCTTTCCATGTACTCTTCTCATAGAAATTCAGTTTTGACAGTCTCATGTATCAGTTTTCGTAGAATGGGTTTTTCCACGTGACCTTTACAAGAGCTACACTGGCAAAAGTAAAATTGCTTTTCTACAATACTCACCATCCAAGATGCTCACACCATTGTACGAACAAATAGGATTTGTAATCTCACCATGAAATAAATACATTAAGTGGGTGCTCCACATTTACCCTTCCTACACCACACTCATAAGAAATAGACATGTCTTTGACCAAATGTAAATGCAATGCCAAAGTTATTAATGTAATTATTAATTAATAATATAAATAAATAATCAAGGAGTTCAGCTATTTAAAAGCACTTGTGCTTGAAAGAAATTACAGCACAGATGGCACAAAACAAAGAGCTCACTCTTGCTCCAATTAAAAGCTAAACTCTGACTCACATAATTGCAGACAGAATCACTCCCAGGTACACTGACAGAAGATCATTTCCAGCTTGTATAGATTTTTGAAGTGCTTGGTATAGCTAAGTCACCTATCTGACTTAAACAGCCAAACTGGAAACGCTGACTGTCCTCTTGACTATGAAAATATTCTCCTGCATCTTCACTGAAGTGCACACAGAATTCAAGTCAGGCAATTTCTAGAAATCAAACAACCTTTTAGTACTTTCACAGAGGCAGAACTTTTTAATGTGAAAAAATAGATAAATCTTTATAATGTATTTGATCCATTGAAGCCTCTTTTAGTTTTAATGGGCATTTGCATGTATTTTCTGGGATGGATAAACCAAATTTTTTTCTATTCAAATAAATGTCACAATCTACTGTCTACATGCAGAAGAGGAAACACAGCAGGAAAAGCTGGAATCTTAGCATTAGAGAAAAAGGTGTAAGGCAGTTTGCAGCAGCAGCAGCAGTAGTTCTTTGCTCATAAAATGCAAACCTACAGCACGTAGTATTATCTGTAACATCATGTCACACTTGCCAGGGTAAGTTATAGGCACAGGCAGTTCCTAGAGCAGCAGCCTGCTAAAAGGGGAGAAGGAACAGGAGGGGGTGAAAACCAGCCATGCTCTCGCTGCCTACTTTGCCGATAGCAAAGCCCTGAAAATCAGGTTGGCTCCTGCTGCTGCAGGAATTACAGAGTATACGGGACTGTGGTAGGAGCTGCTATTCCCAACAGCAACAACAGCTAATATTCACCCTTCCCCCAGCAGCAC